GGTGCAGAAAGCATGAGTCTGCAAAAGCAGGAGGGGGAGGTTCTGTAGGGAAATGGGAACCCAGGGCCCCAGCCCCTGCTTTGTTCAAGCCATCCTGATTCAGTACAACAGTTGTGCTAGGAAAATACCTTCTCAGTTAAGTCCTGCTGATGAGAGAATTTCCGGTTTTTGAATCCCTAAAAGCATAGGGATTTAGCCACTCAGCATGACCAAGAACAAAGGTAATTCTCCACATGTGTAGAGACAGGAGTGGGGCAGACATCTTACAGCTCCTGTTCCTGCCTGCCATCCCAGATGTCTCCTGATGTGTCCATGTTGCATATTAGCAGGAAACCCATGTGTACAACTAGTTTCACACTAGCCTAAAAGAAATTTGTATATTTTCTTGCCCTTTCCATGTCCCCAAGCCACACAGTGCTTCAGCACATCTCTGATGCACACAATACTTAGAGGACAACATGCAGATGAAGAGCCAGACCATGAAAGCTAAATCCAGTTATAGTCCCTGTAGCCTGACAAAGCAAAAATGCTTTTGGGTTTTGGGCACTTTGGGGTTAGGATGGCAGTAGAAAAATAACATTTTACCCTACATTTCATATGTGAAGGCTTGGCACTGATAATATTTTGCGTATTTTGACTGTTTGGATAGCAGCCTTCATTTGGACTACCCAGCTCATGTTCTGCGGGGGATTGGATTGGACCACAGCCTTGTGACCATCACACTAATCACGTTCTGATGGAGATACTCTCTCTGAGCTTCAGTTGCAGAAGTCTCTCAAAAGGAAATCCATGTATGAAATTAATATTGACCAGAGGATGGTGCAGTAGATACCAGGTATAGCAGAGGAAATATACCACTTCAAGTATTGCTAACATTTATTTATTTTTAAGCTTAATTGGTACTTCTGCATGCAAACTAGCAAGAACACCAACAGCTTCCATCTCATCAGCTCTGATAAGCCTAGAAATGCTGGGGGTTGCTGCAGGCAGACGGAGATCGGGTATTGCGGGAAGTAGGATTGATGTCTTAATAAGAGGCATTTTGTCCTCCACATCACTATGATGCTGCAGGCACTGTGCTTCTGAAGGGCCTTTCTCTAGAGATAAAGAGCTTCCTCATGCTAATTAAAGGTTGTACAGTCCTTTTGAAAAGGTAAGAATAACTTCATTGATCACCACATGACGAGGTGACCTTCCTGAGTAGAATCATACGCAAAAATAAGGCTTTCAGTGGTTTTTGTATGGGGAATTAACAGAAAAGTGCAAGCAATTCTTCTGTCAAAGCTTTTTTTCCCCCTTCATATACAGCTTCATCCCATAATGTCAGACTCTCTGAATTTGTTCCGCAGCTCAGTTCACACCTGTGGACATTGACTACATCTGTGATAACATGACCCAGAAGATCAAACCTGCAGAAATGGAGCATTCGACTGACATCAGACCTGCTTCTTCTCTCACCGAAAGCTTTGGGAGATTTCATTGCCTTTATTCAGAGCATGAAAAGCACAGAAAAAACCTTCAAGTAAGCAAACAACACAAGGTATAAACAAGGTACAAGCTAGTGAGAGTTACACTGTTGAAATAAATTCCAAATTCCTGTGCGGCAGAGCCCCAAGCATTGCCATATTATGCAAAAGAAACAAAAAAGAGCTTGCACCAGAAATAGTTATTAGAAAAATTTTAAACACATACAGTCAATGCACTTTCATTGGATACACTTCCAACTACTCCATGTCATACTTTCTTCTCAAGTACTCACAAGCTAGAACCAGAATCTTTGCAGCCAAGTGGATATTTCATTTTGCAAACTTTTTCTTTATTTAAAGTGAATTTTCTTATAGTTCTCTAAAAAAGTAGCTACAAAGGTAAAAATAAGACACAAGGAAATGGAATGAAGCTGCATCAAGGTAAGGTCAGACTGGACATTAGGAAAAGTTCTCACTGTGTTTGGTCACTGCCACAGTCTCTCCAGGGAACTGGCCATGGCATCAAGCCAGAGGTCAAGGAACATCTGAACAATGTTCTTATCCACTTGTTTTAGATTTAAGTAGTACTGCAAGGAGCAGGGAGTTGGTTGGACTCCATGATCCTTATGGGTCCTTCCCAATTTGAGATATTCTATGGGTCTATATAAAAATAATACCTACAGAGACATTGTGATAGCCCAAAAGAATGTTTTTCTGACTATAAATATTTGTCTCCTTCCCTCCTGGTTGTGTGGAATAAGTTGATAGCTGGAGGGCAGGACTCCAACTCAGAGGGATCTCAGCAGCCTGGAGAAATGAGCTAACAGGAACCTGCTGGAGTTCACCAAGAGCATGTGCAAAGTCTGCAGCTGGGATGGGGAAAACCCATGCAGAGAACTGACAGTCAAGAAGGCATCTGCAGGAAAAAGCCTGAGGATCCTGGCAAGCAATAAAGTGAGTATCAGTCACCAACGTGCCTTTGCACATATTGGGGTGTATTAAGTGATCACACCCCTCTGAATGGCACTTGTGAGAGAATTGTGTCCAGTTTGGGGCTCCCCAGCTGACCTACTGGAGTGAGTCCAGCAGTGGGCCACCAAGGTTCTGCAAGAAGATGCTGAGATAAATAGATTCATTCAGCTTTTAGAAGGCAAGGCTAAGGTGAAGAAACCTTAGTTCTGCCTTCAACTACTTAATAAGACAGTACAGAGAGGAAAGAATCTCAGAGGTGTTCTCAAAGGTGAAGGATGATAAGAGGCAACAAACACAAACTGCAACAACAGAAATCCCAAACAGATGGCAGGGAAAAAAAAATTTAATGAATGGGTAGTTGAATATTGGAAGTGGTGCCCATAGAGGCTGTGGTATCTCCATCCTTGCAAATCTATCCTTGGAAATATTGAAAACTTGACTGGACAAGTTTCTGGAGAATGTAACATAACATTAAAGTTGGCTGTGCTTTGAAAAGCAGCTGGAGGACATGATATTCAGAAGTCATCTCCAATCTGTTTTCAGTATGATTAAATTATTGAATTTGCTGAATATGATGCATGGCAAGGTGGCATAATTCAGATGCTTCAAAGAGCTCATATGAATGCATTTCTGGCCCACACACAGCTTCACTCCCCAGCATGGTTACCCATTCAGAGAGAAAAGTAGATTTACTCCAATGTCACATATAAGTTAACATTAAAAAGACCCTCCAACCTGACATCTTTCTTTTGCATTAGTCATGGGATCGCAGAAGGACAGACAGCCAATTTTCAAACATTTGCATGGAGAATTCAGGCTCAAAATTTTATTGGAACTCAATATCCAAACCTTTAAAGGTCTACCTGCCACCAAGAAAAATGTCTGGCTTGGACCAGGTGGATCACAGGCTGGGAGATATAGGGAACTTGCTGAGCCCTGCAATGACTGATTATTACTTCCTTTGAGAAGTGAGGCTTCACTTCTGACTCAAAAGTGAACACGATCCTCTTTCCCAGAGAACTGAAATCAAGGCATCTCTGTACTTTTAAGCATGAAGAGGCCATATCCCTCCTGTTGTACTGCTGTATCCTTACAACATTCTTGTAACAGAGGTAAGCATCCATACATTTCAAACTGCACAGATCCGTTTTGAATGGTGAGCTGCTAAGCTGTCTCCCCACATGTCTCATCTGGGCTTTTCCTTGTCATCTAGCAGAGATAATAACTTAAACTCTAACGTATTACTTCACATTTCTCCCTCGTGTTGTGTGGAATAGTGACTGCAGTATGGGGTTGGAGAACAAACACTGCATTCTCTCTGAGTTTTAGTCAATGATATTTTTCAACGTCTTTGGGTCCAATAGACTGCAAAGTTTAAGTTCCAGTACTTCACTACTCTCAAGGTTTGACGTACCTACCTCCTTCATTTCACAGGTCATTGCCTTCCAGTGAGACTTACAGCTCTCAGGAGGGCTGCAGAACCACAGGGCTCAGACAAAGCCTTGCTTCAGAGGACAGACTTCCCATATGCTCCTGCTCCATTCCTACATTTTCTTAAAGCTCGGCACACCCAAATCTGCAACCCCTCCACACATTTGGGTGACCATCACATTGAAGAGACCTCCAATTTTTGTTTAATTTTTGAAAGACTATGACATAGTGAAAATAACAAAACAAGAGAAGAAGGATTTAAAACATCTATGACCGAAAATTTGAATATTTTTGGCCCCGTCCTTTCACTTTTGCTCCATCACAGCATCCTAAACGCCTGGCGGTGCGCGGAGCCGGGGTGCCGTCAGCGCTGAGCGGCGGACGGGCATGTCCCCCCCGCCTCCCCGGGCAGCCGGGGGACGCACGGCAGGCGGGCAGCAGGGCTCGCTTTCGGCGACCGTCCCGGGGTCTTTTTTCTAACAAATGGCTTCCTGGGGAAAATATCCTTGGCATGTTTGAGCAGAAGGCAAGTAAACCCTCCAAGCGGGAGTCCTGTCCCGCAGGATCAGCGAGCTCTGCCGGGGCTGGGACGGGGCTGGCTCAGCCCGGGGGCAGCAGGGACAGCGCACTGCGGGCGGCGGTCTCCAGTCCCCGGTAGTGGAACGCCGAGCGACTCCGAGAGCACTGCCCCCGGGCAGCTCAGCCCGGAGGCGGCTGCGGCCGCATCGCTGCGGGCAGCCGGGGGCGGCCCCGCCGGTCCCAGGCTCCGC